TCAGCTCATTTTTGTTTCTGAAGAACCCAGCTAATTCTTCTACTATCTCCTCACTTGACCAGGTAATCAGCTCTAAGTCTGATTTTTTTCTGTCTTTCCCCATGAATCCACCATGGTTTTCTCTCTTTTATCAAATTTTGTTGGCTCCCTGAAGATTTGACAACTTTGATCCTATTTCCCCACCACCTCACATTTTGGAGACTACTTATATTCTTCAAAGTTAAGAGATTTGAGTCTTCTGGCTCTTTACAATGAGCCAGAATGAAGGTGTTTGATCCTTCTTGCTCATTAAAAATGAGATGGCAAATGTGGTAGTAAGACATTACTTTTCTTGATATGAAGAAAATGAATGCCTTCACAAAAATATAGTCATACACAGCAATTTATATTTCAAATGGGGAAAAGCGACTATTTACTGAGGGCAATTTTTACTTGGAAATTTGCTCCAACATTAAGGAAAAAGAACGGTAATGCAAATAGTGAAGATAAAATGTAAGAAGCTGTAAACAAATTAAGTGTATATAATTCCACTCAGTTGTCGCATGTGGTACATATGGCTTATAATACTCTGAACTCTTAACAACAGAAACCCTTCTTTGTTGTCATAACTACCATACTTGATGGATGTGGGAAAAATAAGTGTTAAGAGGATGGTGTTAATTTTTATATGAGTGCATGACTAGGCACTGTGTAAATGAAAGAGAAAAGAGGTGTTTTGCAATAAATAAATAGTAAGTTAATTTACATGTTAGGCATGAATCTGTTAAAATATCACTGTTGGTCCTCTTTCGTAGCTACATGGCCTTGGGCCAGTGTATGCATACTGTTGAAACAAAATCCATCAGGATCCCAGTATTTCCCCTGGGCACCCTCGGCAGGAGTTTTTCCTCCTTCCCCCACAGCCCCATTGGGAGGAGGAGGGCCTGGACAGGGGGGGAATGCATTACAAAATAAAATAAAATCTCGGTTTACCAGTATTTGTTGCTAAATTTGGTAAGCGGTGGTGGTGCTCACAGTGGCCCTGGCCACTAGATCCTCACGCTGCCAGAAACTCTGTTCTGGAAAGATTCCCAGCTCTTAGAAGGAGACTTTCACAGCATGCAGTGGCTGTGTGGAAAGGGAAACTACTGAATATACTCATGTATGGTCTAGAAATGTTAGTCAAAAAATTGACACACACACA